TGATTCATTAAAATGATTCATAAATGGGTTTACTTACGCATTCTCTTGACCCTTCTGGATAATTTGCAAGATATAATAAATTACATTGAAATGAACAAACAAAAGAAGCACCGGCAACAAAAAATTTAAAATATTTGGTGCAGGTATCCATTATTGTTTGACTTTATATAATTTCAATGGGAGGGGAAAAAAAAAAGAAAAAAGAAAAAGTCTATAAAAGAATTCACAATGAAAATGATCATTTTTGTGAGATAAATAAATTTTTTGTGCGCGTGTAACCATTCGTTCATTTTTGATAAATGCACAGATACACCAGAAATTTTTGTTGATGAGAAATTTCTAAATGCAGTAAGGTTTTCCCACTGTATTTAATGATTTGTACAACGGCTAATTTAAATCAACAAGTTTTTTTTTTGATTGTATCTAAAAAGAGTTTTGGGCGTTAAAAAAAAAAAAAACTCGCAAAATGTCGAACATTCCAAAATTCGTTCTTAATAATGGGATGAAAATTCCCGCACTCGGGTGTAATTATCAGTATCATTTTTTAACTAAAAGGTGGTTTGCAAATGTTAACATGATTCGTATTTTTTATTAGTTGGAACTTATCAAATAAGAAAGTGTGAAGATGTTGATAAATCGATAAAAAGTGCCGTTATGTCTGGATACAGACTTATCGGTATTATTTATATATATCTATATATATATATATATGGATGAATCTGATTTTGTTTGTTTTAAAAATTTTATCTTAATAACTTTTAATTTTACATGATAGATTCAGCAATTGGATATAAAAATGAAGATTCAATTGGCAAAGCTATCAAAGAATTGATTGAAGATCCTTCCTTGGGTCTTAAACGCGAAGATTTTTTTATTACAACCAAACTTCGTTAGTCAATTCTATTGAGATTTTATGAATCTTATTTTTTTATTTAATTTAAAATTAATCGAGTAAAATTTCCTTTTTAGCTCCCAATGATCAGGGATACGATTGCTGTTTAAAAGGTTATTTTTATCAACAAACTTGTTTTTGCATCTGTTTCGATTAAATCCTCATTGATTTTCTCTTTCAGCATTCTCGTGTTCGTTGAAACGATGGAAGTTTGATTATCTTGACTTATTTTTAATCCATTGGCCCGGGTAAGACAACTATAAAGTCAATATAATACATGCTTAAATACTTTGTTCGATGTTGTTCAATTTTTTTTTTATTACCCTGTAATAAAATTTAGGTCGCATAAATTGAAACCTTCGGATCCCAAGCATGCAGAAAATCGTAAAGGAAGTTGGGAAGCTTTAGAAAAATTATACGCGGAAGGAAAGGTTCGATCCATAGGAATATGCAATTATACACATCAACATCTTACCGAACTGTTATCATATTGTACGGTAGTACCACAAGTGTTGCAATTTGAATTACATCCACTTTTATATCAAAAAGATATAATTGATTTATGTAAAAAGCATAATATTCAAGTACAAGCTTATTCAAGTTTTGGGCAAGGAAAGTTATTGAATGGGGAAATCGATCTTCCTATTTTAAAAGTAATTGCTGATAAACATGGGGTCACTCCCGGACAAGTTTTATTAAGATGGGGATATCAACATGATGTTATCGTTATACCAAAGTCTACAACACCAGAACGAATAAGTCAAAATGCGAATATATTTCATTTTGAATTGACAGAACAAGTAAGGGTTATTATTATTGTAAAGGATCATAATTATAATAATTATAATTATAACAAAAACATATGTAAATTTTTCTTTAGGAAATGGAATCTCTTGATTCCTTGAGTGAAACGCAACCAAGACGATTCTGTTGGGAACCCACCAATATCAATTAACCTTACCTGAACGTTTGTTAATATGATGTAAATTAAATCATTTTATTATTCTCGCCTTCATTTGATGATCTTTATTAAAAGGTTTATTGTGTAATCTACTAAATACGTGATAAGAATCGATAGTATTCTGAAGAAGTACCAACCACCTTGAGGTATCATGTAAATGTGTCAAACTGAAATAATAAAAATGTGTTTGGTTTAAATTCGATTAAAAGTTCACGATACATTCGTATAAATATACGTACTTTGGAGAGATATTGATGACCCTAAAACGTTTATCGTCACAAGTTTGTTTGATATATTGAGATAGAAATTCTTCGTCCATATCCCTTGGCAAACCTGTTAAAATAACACATCTGCCAATATGAATATTTAATGGATCAAATCGAACTCGGTCAGGGATCTCTCTCTAATAAAGATGAAATATATATCAATCAAATATTTTTTTTTTTTTTTTTTTTTTTTTTTTTTTACAAAATGATCATGAGGAACCAGGTGGTTACCTTTAATTTGACTTCCAGTCTATTCCCATAAAAGATATTTTGATTGGTGCATTTAGTAAATATTAAAGCTGTCTTGGAGTCTCTAAAATGTATCCATGCCGACCCGGTTGGTTTATAATGCTCATTATATGAATTAAAAACTGGATAATAACGTTATAAATGTTAATTGTGTAAAATCATCGACAATGATGATAAAACTTAAAACTTACTCTCAATTGGGAGTTTTTCATCAGGGAAAATGCCATGAACCAACATTTCAATATCTCGACGGATCGCAGAAATTGGGAGTTTAGAAATAAGAACATTTTGAGATGAACCTTTTACAAAAGGATCTATATATATAATTCAGTGATGGTAAATTACAAGGTCATTTACTTTTTTTTTTTTTTGTCATCGAGGTCATTTGAAGGTCATTTGTTAATAATTAGGTTCTTTTTTTATTTGGACAGGTTGTTCAACTTCTACCAACCTAAATTCCTAATATGAATAGGATTTAAAGGTAACCTTTCATCAAGTTTTTCCCAATTTCTTAACATGGAAGAAGGTAAAGGTACTTGTCTTTGTTGTCCGGTTTGGGTTTGATTCATACTAATTGCACGTTTGGCCTTAAGTCTATTTGCAAATGAACTTCTTCCTTCTATATTCGTATTTAATTTTGAGGAATTCCCATTAATATCAGGCTCAATTACACCGTCTTGAGAGGAGCTTTTTTGAGTATCATTCACTTGCATTTCAGCAGAAGCGTCTGCTTCGTTTGAATAACTTCTTCTCGAGGTCAGCCGATATAAACTTTTTGCAACTTGCAAATCATAATTTAATCCGGTAACCCTTAAATATGTTGAAAGGTTTCGAATTAAAAGCATTATGTATTATATATATTTGGTAAACGAAGTAAAATCTGAACTTTTTTTTTTTCCCGATTATCAACTAGCATATTTCTGATCTTCCATCCGATTTCCATTTCCATCTTCTCAACCCAATCACGTGATATATGTTATGTCGTATCATTCATTTGATGTCTTTTGTATTATATATGTTATTCGTACCATAAATATAAACTACTCATTACAATTATTCGAAATAAATCATGGACTCAATCAGACATCAACGTCCATAAAGTTAGCACGATGTTTTCTTTATTTTATCAAAGAAATGACATTAGTATTATTACATAGAGTCATTCATATCCAATTGGTAGGAAAGACTCATTGCAAGGCAGAACAACGAACACGAAGATCATTGAAGGGCAACACAAAGCTTGCTCCACTTCATAGGAAAGATGTTTAATATTAACCCCATGAAACCACAACGAACACGAAGATCATCAAGGGACAGCACGAAGTTGTCTCCCCTAGTTGTAGATGGAAAACCTTAACTGCCCCTCTACCCACAACAATCACAAAAATCATAACAGCACGAAGTTGTCATCCTTAGCCATGGGTAGGAAAGCAAAAAAAAAAAAAATTCAAAGAAATACACTCGCCTTTAACAATTTTAAGTAGATTTTTAGAATATTCCTTGTGTTCTTCTGAACCATTAACTAATAAGTATTCAAGAGATCTCTTTAAATGAAAAGATTCTTTTTGAAACGATTCACTAAAATCTGGTTGAAGCTGACGATGCCGGTAAAAGTCTATAAGTTCAATTATCACGTGAAATCAATTGGGAAGATCCAATTTGACTTGTGTTTGTGTAACACATGGAAAAAATGGCAAAAAAAAGGAATTCACAATCTAAAAATTATGATCCTCGTAAATGGAAGCTCAGTAATTATCATGAGGACAATCAAAGAACATTTTAATGAGCGGAAGGAAGTGGATATCAAAAAAAAAAATTCAAAAAAAAAACAAAAGATTGAAAATGAAAGAAGACCCCGGACAGCAATTTTGAGATTTTCGATGCAATTGTCCAAACATTTATTTTTTTTTTTTTTCATCAGGGTCATTCTTAAAATAACATACTAAGGTAAAATTGAAATATGGAGAATAGTTGATAGAAAAAATATTTATTTAAAATAACTTGTTTAATTACGTTACATTGAAAGTTTCGCTTCCATTTGAAAATAGAATACAGTCGACCCCTATATAGTATAGTCTTAAAAATAATTTTTTTTTTTCAAAGAACCTTTCGTAAGACTTACCTAAAGAAAAAATGTTTAAGAAAAATTTTTGCCGAAAAACAAAACTAAAAAAAACTTCGTGTAACCTATCTCCTTCAACGACTAATAAATAATTTCCCGTTTCTTAAAAAAATTGTTTATTTTTAAACGATTTTCAATGTATGAATATTTTTTTTCTATATAATGATGCGGTTTCATTTATTAATAGTTTCTTGTTTGGTTTTAAATCTGTCGAAGGATATTGGTTAACAAGTTTTTTTTTATGTATAATTTTTAATGGTCAAAATTTATCATTTGATAAAAATATGCATGTTTTATATAATACGCCATAAATTCTATGTCTTGGCATTTTGTTAAAAATAAAACAGAGGGATTATTTACGTTAGTAGGGATGGGTAACGACAAATTTGGTAATCTACAAATGTATAAAATGGTGAATTTGCGAACATTAAAATGACAAGAAGTTTTTATTTCTCAAAAAATCATCGAACAAATAATACTTTCTTAATTTTCAAATAAACACACTCAAAGATGTCAAATGTCAAGAAAATTTGTTTGTTCATCATAGTTGTTCTCGCGGTATTTATTGCCGTTAATAATGCCGTTCCAACTTCAACCAGCATTCTTCAAAAACGACAAGAATGTCCTGATGATGATCCAAATTGTACTACTCCATGCGTTGAGGATGGTGTAACTAAATGTCCGTGTGTTGAAGATGATGTAACTAAATGTCCAGAAACTCCTGAACCAGAATGCGTTGATGATACATGTCCAGAAACTCCTGAACCAAGTCCTTGAATACGATGTTAAGATTACACGGATTTAATAGCGTCAAATGTGATAAATGAGTTTTTTTATATATTTATTTAAATGTTAATTTTTTCTACCATGTATTTTTGAAAATTTGGTTATTATTTATAAAAAATTTAGTTGCGGTAGTCGCAGGATTTGTAAAATGAAGATCTGTTTATATTTTTGTGTAGAATAAAATTGTTAACTTCTATATATTTACAAAGAATGTGAAACTGTTGGATCAGAAAACATTATATTTTAACGATCGATATTAAACAAATTAATAAATATTAAGTTCGTCTATTTCATGAACATTTTTTAATAATAATTATGGTATTTTATTAGAAATTTGAAACTTATATTCTCGTTTTGTATCATTGTAATTTATGACTGCGTATCAGCGGAAGATTTTGATTTCAAAGGAATGTTGAATTCAACATACTTGGTGTTCCCATATGCTGTGATGTGCACTGGAAGCTTCCAATGGCTTTTTATTAGAATTGGAAATATTATTGGAATTGGAAGATTTGAAAAAATTAAAAATGCTCTATAATAAATAATGCTGGGCGTTATCAATTTTTTCGTAATACAGTGCGACGATGGCTAAATGAAAATCTCTGAAACCTTGGCAAATGGCCATTTTTCTAAGAGGAGTGAAGAACAAAGAACTTTTAGGTTATATGATGTATAACTTACTTGTTCTTTATCCGTTTATGTATTTATTAAAGAGTCTTACATATTTAATTTGGTGTTTTATGAGAAGAAAGTTTTATTGATTATTTTATTTTCGGTTGAAATCAATTTTCGCTTTCACAAGTAAACTTTATATTTTTAGAACATTTATTCAAATGAAATTTTATTTTGTTTAGCGACAAGTACCAATGAACGAATTTTTTTTTTTTCTTTTAACAAAAAAAAAAATCAAAAATAACTTTATTTTATATGGGGTATATTGCAACAAAACCAGATAAAGTGAACATTAAAAAATATTGGATGCAAAACATATTAAAATATATTTTTATTTACTATCATATTTTATTTTTTTTTTTATTTAGATAATTATCTTCGGTAAATTTTTTTTGCTGCATAATAAATTCCAAAATAAAATAATTGGAGTAACAAATCCTGAAAAATAAAATTTAATTTTTGTATTATTATTATTATTATTTAACTCTTCTTTATTTTTTAACATTAAAATGTTCATTTTTTAAATCACTGATTTCATTTTTGACTAGATAAATATTATCCATATCTTTAATATATCGGTTACAATGATAATCAGGAAGAATATAGATTTTATCTTTGCCTAGGTTATTACGAATAAATTCAAATTTATCTTTTTTTATATTACCAGGATCTAAGGTAAGAATCCAAATATCAAAATTTGGACGTATAATTTTTGCTCTTTTTCAATATTCAGAAACTTCTTGATTATTACCATTGATAAAAAAGCACTCAGAAAATTGTTTAAAGGTTTCTAATTTGATTAAGAATGGATATTTTTAACATTTATAACCTTCCCAAAAGTTATTAAAAGGGATTATAAACCTGTGATTAGCTATTTCTTTCAAAAGATTTGATTAAACATTAGGAAAACCTTTTAGGCATACTAAGATTAGAAGATCTATGAATGTGTATCGTCACAATGATTTTTCGTAATATCGTCGTTAAGTACTGGGACTATGGCGTAGAACTAATCATGAGCTCGTGACATTTTACCTAAAAAAATTTCCTGATGAATTTTTAAAAAGTTTAATCATTCTTTCAATGTATTGATATACCGTGATTTAATGATTATCAGTACGTTGATTATCGCAATACTGATTATTTATAAGCATAACCATTTGATTACATTTCTAATGATCTCTTCTTACTAACGAAGCTATCCTTGAATCGCTAAAATGTCTTTTGCTCGTTGGTTTACGTATATATTATTCACCCTTATCATACTAGTTTTACCAGTTATTGTTTTCGTGGCTTTGATCGTAGTCATAGTTATTCTTTTCGTGATTTGGATCGCAGTCATCGTGGTATGCTGAACGACTTTATTTGAATGCAAATAATCTAAGACCTCCCATTGCCGGCATTCTTCTTATGATCGCCTTTGTCAGCTACATCGGTCATCTCGGCATATCTTATATCTCTTCTTTATTAAACGACTCTATGAATTCACCTTCTAGAAATGCTACATCTCACGCTCAACTTAACAGTAAAACATCTTCATCCTCAATTTCTAATAATAAAGAAAAACAAAAGGAAACAATTCCTTTTCAATCTTCAAGATCTTCATCTTCAATTGCTCCTATCATTGATATTCTGTGCACCTAATATCCTCAAATTTTTTATCCAAAAATTTTTCACTCACAACATGTCTAAAACCTCCAAAGCTTATGACCAACAAATAGATCTTGATAATTTAGACCTTAAACGCACTTATACTCTTGAGGAATTTGAATACATTAACAACCAACTAAAAAACCGTACCTTGGAAATTGACGGGAAGCCTATCAACCTCTTTGAGCTTGACGAAAACGGAAAGCTGATTCCAATGCCACAAGCAACCTACAATATGGAACTTGTTGTTACAGAAATCGCCAGGCAACTCAGTAACTGGAATATATTTACTCGTCAGGGCGGTAGTGTTACTACCTCTCAAGGAGGGTTTAAATTTGGCACTGAGGAATCTGAGGATGAGATTACAACGCAGGCTGGTAAAAAGATTAGAGTGCTGAACGTTGCTTTCACGTTCAAAAACACACATCGTAATTTGAATGAGCAACAACTTTGAACCTTCAAGGGTGAACCTTTTACTCCTATATTTGTAGTTGAAGTTGGAGACATCAGAACTGATACAACCAATTCAGCTTTTATTAAAGCAGATAATAGGTTTAAGGATGAATATTTTGAGGATGGCACATCGATCCAACTCGGTTAGTTGATCAACCCAAAAAACAAGCGGATCCTTATATACAGAAGGGGTCAAAACTGTGTAAGTTTGCGTATATGGAGGAATATTAGTGCTGACGATACTTTGCCAGGCTTCACGCTAAGAATATCCTCGGTTGATTATTGTACTTCTCAGGTGCGTTATTATTCTTTATTTTCGTGCTATAATTTCTATTATTACGTATTCATTGGTTGATCAATTACAGGAAGATTCTGAAACGTCAAGTGAAAATGAATCACCAGTCCTTTGTAACAAATGTGAAGACACTTTTAATAGTCGTTATGAATACTTAATTTACTACGAAGAAGTCCATATATGCAAGAACAAGCGTCGTAGAATTCAGGAATAGTTATGGATGATTCTGTTCTATTTCAAAGGTAAACATTTTGAAATAAATTTTTTTAAATAAAAAATTAGCTAATGATTCTTTACTTTATTTTAAGGCATTGGATTTCAAAGAGTAATAGCATAGCTACATTTCTTGAAGATTTAATGCATTAATAATTATGTAGTATAGTTTTTAAAAATTACTAAGTTTCAATTTTATAATGTGCGAAGTATGAAAACGTGAATTACAAATACATATAATTGTGAAATCAATCTTCGATATATTATTAATTGTTATTTTCGTGTGATGTGGTGTAGATAATAATCTGTTAATCTCTTGTATTTCAACACGGAAGAAGTATCTAGATTGGTTATGATTTTCATTACTAATTATTGCGAAACTAATAAGAATATATAATTAGCATTCCACAATTATTAGACTTTTATATTATAGCTGCTACTTATAACATCCGTTCTCACCTTTAAAAAAAAAATTTTCAAAATTCAAACCTTGAACTGTTATAAGACATTAACTGTTAAACTCAATAATAGTTCAATTCATGAGAATAAAGCTGAATAAAATCTATCAAATTCAGCGACAATTTTTAATAATTTAAATTAGAAAACCAAACAAAGTGATAAAATTATATGTATGAAATACAATATAAATAATAACTTTACCGAATATGAAAAAGCAATAAAGTTTTTAGATATGGGCTGTAGATGTGGTTGTTTTGCTAAGATCCCTAGAGAAAAGTTTGCAGAGTTACAAGAATCTTTTCAAGCTCTTACTAGTCCAGAACAGGATGCTTTTATTATGGCTCAACTTATTGCTATAGATGGAGGAACAGTGACTACTAGCCAGCGCTTAAAAAAGAAATATCGCACCAATAAAAAAACATTTTACCGCTGAAACTACAATACACCCATTTGTCAAAAAACTTATTTTCAGATGTTAGGAATTGGGCATTTTTATTTAGAAAATATTCGCAATCATTTAACAAAAAATGGACTCATTACCAGAATTCATGGAAATACTAAAAGAATACTACAATTAAAAACTAAGTTAGTAATTAATAAGAGTATTGCTGAAGTAGTAAAAAAATTTCTAGAAAACTATGCAGAAGTTAATGGTTTACCTAGTCCTAGAAGAAACATCAATCGTTTAACTCAATCACAAATATTTTGCTTGCAGAAATGAGTTATAAATCTGTTCATCGAGATTTCTTGGCTGGTTTAGAAGAAGGTAATAATTTGAAATTATTAAAATATGATACTTTTCGCAAATTATGAAAACAGCTAATACCTGGAATTCAAATTATGAGTCCTCGCACTGATTTATGTGATACCTGTCAACATTTTCGCAATAGTTTACAATATAATACTCATCAAGAAGAAGAAGCCAAAAATTTAATGAAGAAGTTTAAAGATCATTTAGCAAAAGCAAAATTAGAAAGAAACTATTACTATAAAAATACAAAATTAGCTGAAGAACAAAGGAAATTAGTTAATCAATATCATTTAACTATTACTAATAAAGCATCATATTGTAGTTTTAATATAACAGCACATTATAGTTATGATTGAGCTCAGAATATTCATGCTCCTCATTCTGATTAACAGGAAAGTAAAATTTATTATCTCAGTTCTCGTAAAGTTCATCTTTTTGGTATTCAGAATGAAGCAATAAAAGAACAAATTAATTATGTTCTAGATGAAAACGAACTTTTAGAAAAGGGTCCTAATGGTACACTAAGTATGGTTTTTGATGGAATTAAAAAATTAAACAAAGGTGAGAAGCATTTAAAAATTACTTGTGATAATGCAGGTGGACAAAACAAAAATAGTGTAACTATTTGGTTTTATTTATATTTAGTAATTTGTAATTATTATGAATCTATTGAATTAAACTTTATGATTCCTAAACATACTAAATTTAAATGTGATGGCAGTTTTGGTTTAATTAAAAAACTTTATCGAAAAACAACTGTAGATTGTGTTAATCATATTGTTGAAGTAATAAAAAAATCTAGTATTGCTAGATTAAATAAAACTCAACGTTATAATGCTAGAAAAGGTTTTCAATATTTAGATATTAAATCTATTTTAGGAGTTTATTTTAAAAAATTACCAGGTATACAAAAATTTCAACATTTTCTTTTTGAAATATCTAACCCTGGCATAGTAAAAGTCCAAGAAATTGTTAATGGACCTTTTTATGAATTTAATTTATTAAAAGCCAGAAAAACCAATGTTTCTAAAATTACCAAAGAAATTAAATCTTTATCTATTTTAATACTAACCCCTTCTCCTTTAGATTACAAAAGGTAAGAATATCTTTACTAAAATATTCGTCCATTTGTTAGAGATAAATTTAAAGATATTACTTATCCTAAGTCAACATAAAATATAATTAGCATTATTAATATCAGGCTATAACATATCAGTCAAATAACCTGATATGCCTATAAAATCGTGATGGTATAATTTCTTTTGACATATTGGTGTAACAAGCATGAAGCATGATTAAATATTTTGTAAAGTCATATAGGTATCTTTCAGACTAAAAAAGATTTAAGTAAAAAGGTGTAAATATATACTAACCTATCTTTTTTTTTGTATGTTTCTTTTTTTCCTTTGAACAATATTTCAAATGAGTAAGTTATTTGGTTTTGATATTAACTATACAAAATGTTTATTGATATTTCTTTTTATTTTTGTAATTTCCAAAAGGCTTTTGATGGGTGAATCTCTTTGGGATAGGATTCGATATTAATCTTGCGAAATGTTTATTAACTTAAAAATAATATAATTAAATAGAATTTTATGTAAAATGATAAATAAAACTAATTTATAATAACTGACACATATTCTTTAATTAAAAAAATCAACCAACAAAAAGGTAGAAAATTAAAAATTATTTGTAATATTAATGATGTTATATGACTTATAAAATCATCATGTTTTTATGGAATTTCTGATAAAACAACATCTTTTAAAGAATATCACCAAATTTTTTGAGAAAAAAGAGATTATGAAAGTCCTAATGGAGTGAAAGAAAGTGATAAAAAAGGTAAATTAATTAAAAAAAATCTTAAAAATTTTGAAAATTATCAAAGAGAACGTAATAATCTAAGAAAAATAATTAATGACCCTAATGAATATAAAGAAAAAACTGCAGAACTTGAAAAAAAATACATGGGTAATTGAAACTATCTATCTAATTGACCATTTACTACTATTGCAAAGGATTTATTAAAGTATTTAAAAGAAGGATTAATTGAGGAACTTGTTTTTAGACTTGCTTCTTAAACTAAACAAGAACAAAATCTTTTATCTGTACTTAATCAAGTTAGAATAGATGAATTTAACAAAACCTTTAAACAATTTTCTGAGTGCTTTTTTATCAATGGTAATAATCAAGAAGTTTCTGAATATTGAAAAAGAGCAAAAATTATACGTCCAAATTTTGATATTTGGATTCTTACCTTAGATCCTGGTAATATAAAAAAAGATAAATTTGAATTTATTCGTAATAACCTAGGCAAAGATAAAATCTATATTCTTCCTGATTATCATTGTAACCGATATATTAAAGATATGGATAATATTTATCTAGTCAAAAATGAAATCAGTGATTTAAAAAATGAACATTTTAATGTTAAAAAATAAAGAAGAGTTAAATAATAATAATAATAATACAAAAATTAAATTTTATTTTTCAGGATTTGTTACTCCAATTATTTTATTTGGAATTTATTATGCAACAAAAAAAATTTACCGAAGATAATTATCTAAATAAAAAAAAAAATAAAATATAATAGTAAATAAAAATATATTTTAATATATTTTGTATCCAATATTTTTTAATGTTCACTTTATCTGATTTTGTTGCAATATATCTCATATGAGGTAGACGTTAACATTACTATGCTTAACCTAAGATCTACTTTTCATCTACCAGGGGGGAACAAAAATATTGCACAGCTTAAAAATAAAAATTTAAATAAATTTTTTATAAGTTACTAGCCATGTGATTTTTATACCGAATAGGTTAGCAGTTGCTTTAAAGGGATATTTGTTTATTGTTTTGATTAAATGTGTAGCA